ACCATGACCCTTGTCAACACAAATTCTTATTGGTCCAAACGTGGTCTTCTCTGATGCGATTTCCTAATTGCATGAGGCCATTTGTTCTTTTTAAATGATAGAATCATAATCTGTAAACAAAATGACGAAACCACAAATAAAAACTTCATTGATTGCTTACCCTGGTCTATGCTCTCCTTGGCCACAGAGGCGGAACAGTCACAATCTTCATCGTTAAATAACAACTGGAATGGCCGGGGTGCAGCCCTTCTGGGATACAAAACAGATTAAAAAAAAAAGAATGAAATACCCTCGTCATCAGTCCGTATTTGCACCGATTCATCTAGTTAACAGTTTGTTTAATTTTACCATTCTCTAGCCATTCCTTGCACAAAGAAGTAACAACTTTAACGTTTGGTTCTCAATGGACAAAGGCATTTCAGAACTGTATTAAGAATAGTCCAATATCCTCAAAACTGATCCATGTGTTGACCTCTTTACTTATGAATATATTGTATTGATCCATTCATTTATTCACTAATACTATAAAATCAATATCCAGGAACCCTCTCAACTAAACTCAAACTTTCCTGAAATCATTCCCCAAAAAGTCACATGCTAGTTCTCTTTTGCAGTGGACCTCAGTGGTTCCAACAATGATTGATCATAATTTTCATTCAGATGCATTCCATTTACATCATTGGTCCAGGAGCGGCTCTTCTGCACTGACTTTAAACAACTTTTAGATGTTGCAATGAACAACCATCAACCGCTGTCCTACTCAGCAACTAGAATACCGGGCTGCATAGGAGCGTAATAGCCTCGATCTTTATCAAAAGGGGGAGGTTAAAATACAGAAACTCATACACAAAGACAAGAGGATGGCAGAGAACAGAGGGAAGGGGTGGGGAGGAGGTGGAAGAGGGCAAAGGGGGTCAAGTACTGGGGACATGACAAAAGGAGATGAACTGTGGGTGGTGAATACATAGTGCAGTGTACAGACGACACATAATACAATTATATACTTGAAACCTATGTAATCTTATTAACTAACATAGCCCAAATAAATTTAATAAAATTGTTAAAAAATTTTATTGTGACAAAAACATAAAATGAGACATTTAAGTTTTAAAATGAATGGGAAACGCTAACTTTGTTCTTGTACTTAATTTGTGCTGAATTGGATTAATCATATGCTTTGGATCATAACACATTCTCCTCATGAATCTATACGTGGCATTTAAAGATTTAATCACATTTCTTTTTTTTTTTAAGTGATATAATGGAAATCCATGGACTAACCACTCAAAACAAGAATGTTATTACTTACATAGCGGAATATACTCCTTCCCCAGGGGACGGTGAGCGGGGCGGGTAAGGCAGAGACCCTCGCGACTGCAGAATAATTTAATTAGCTGTGGCGCGTCCCATCCTGCAGAACGTGGGAGGATGCTGACAAATGAAAAAGCCTAGACTTGGATTTTAATTCAGTGAGCATCAGGCAACGATGGGAGAAATTAATCGTCAACAATGATTTATGTCACATTCTTATCTCTGGCTCAGGAATGGGCCTCTGCTTTATTCATGTGTTCTATTCAGTTATCCACTTTAAGAATATAATAAACACCCTTCAGGGAGCCACCCAACACAGGAACCACGAGTGTCACAGACCAATGACACCGGGTCCCTCAGCCACGGAACGAAGAGGCTACGAGCGCCACTGCCGTGCTGAATGAGCTTCATCTGGAACTTTCCCTCATGACAGTCTCAGCACTGGCCCCCCGGTGGCCTTCTCTGATTCCATGTCACAGCCCTTAGTCATGCGCCGAAAACCCAGACCAGCCTACCCACACACAGACGGGCCTGGGACTGTCACATTGAGCCTGAAAGCCCTTGACCGCTACCGAATGGTTATGGGTTCGGTGCGCCCATTCTGCAGAGTAGAAAACAGGTGGGAAAAAGAAAAAATGAAAACACATTCTTTCCTAACTTAAGACATTTTAAATAAAATATGTGAGACTATCTCTTGCCAAAAAGGGAGACATGAATTGTCTCCATGGACTCCTGTTTCCCTTTGAGTTACGCGCTGCTCAGGTGTTGCTTAATTAATAAAAATTATTTCATTTCTCTTTAAAAAACTAGAACAGATAACAAGATAGAAACAGTATATCCAACAACCTATCATTTCCATAGTTATTTAGGTATTTATTAATTTATGGTAAAACTTACTTATTTTTCTCTTTATACAAATCAGCTTCAAACTTGCAACTGACTCCGGGTAATTGCTCAGTACTACCTACTACTGTCGCAGCTGACAAAATACACACGGTCCATTTATTTATCGTCCACTCCAAATTACACTCATGCCATTTTGCCTTGCACGTTCCTGACACCAATATAAGAGCCGAGTCTAGCAGGGCTAGTGAACTAGCTTTCTTTCACGTTGGAGGCCTGACTCCCGGACGCGTGCTCATCGTGGGCGGCTCCCGGGCCGTCGGTAGTCCTCCCAGACCCAACGCGGCCCTCTTCTTCCTCGTTCACGTCTATGGGTCTATTGATTATTTTGCTAGTACTATTCTGTAAATATCGTAATTCACAAAAGCCCAAGAAGAGTTTGCACGGCCCTCACCTACAGACAGGATTCTTTTCACCATGCACCTCCCATTAATTATCCTCAGTTTTTCTTATATCCGTTAATAATGTTAACTGTATCCCATATTTATCACTGAGTTAGAATTGCATTTTCAGATAGATTTCACACTTTTTAATGAATAATTTTAAAACACAACACTGAACCCAAGAAAATAACTGGAACTATTACTCACATTAATCTCTGTCTTGTTACAGAGGCAGATGCGGAGTTTGGGCCCGAGCGTCCGCGGACCGCAGAGCGGAGCAGGGAGCAGAGGACCGAAAACAATGGGCCCTAACTGCCGGGGACCCCAGGCTTCCACACTCCATGAACTCGGTAGTTAGACATTTATTGCTTTTCCAGGAGTATTTACCATCCGCACTCACACCCACTGCCGGCCGTCGTCATTTACCCAGGCTCGACCCCGTGTCTTCATTCATGTCTACACGTTTCTAAGGATTTCATCAACTAAGAATAATAAAATAAATACCTACGGGTCACAAAAACGTGAACTAAGGTTCCCGAATATCTCTAACGTGGCTATAAAATTACTTTCCACAAACAACATATATCTTTTATTTGCGACCTCAAAATTTCGTACGAAGATTAATGAACGTCAGACCTCATATTAGCACCGTTATTCTTTTTAGCATGTTTGGTGGTCACTATTCATATTTTAAACTTCTTTTTTTTTAATTTTTTCTATCCTCACCCCAAGTACATTTTCATGTGCTCATTTAGATGGAGAGAGGAAGGGAGAGACCAACATCGATGCGAGTGAAGCACCGATTGGTTCCTGAGATGCTGTGTGGGACAGGGGACCGCACACCCCACTACCTGGACCAGGGATGAATCTGCAACCCAGGCATGTGCCCTGACTGAGAACCAAACCCACAACCTTTTGATTACTGGATGACACTCCAACTACTGAGCCATACCAGCCAGGGCCACATTTCACACTTCTTAATAATGCAGTGAAAACCTTTTTTTTTAAAGACTACAAAAACAAAAAAAGAACTCTGTTATTCATTCTGCTCTCCCTGCTTTCAGCACATAGAGGCCGACACACATAGATGTTTCTCTTCCTTTCTTTCTCCCTCCCTTCCCCTCTCTCTGAAAATAAATCTTTAAAAATATATGTATATCTTTCTTTAAATATATTTCAATGTCTCACGTTAATCCAACATTTACCAATGTGCTACAGTTGACCATCTTTCCTACATCGGGTACTCTTTGATAACGCATTGAATACCTGCCCCCCAAATCACTGACACCCAGTCAAGGACTTTGACCAATGCTGTTTCAAAAACTGGCCTCATGGCCACAATTATACATTAATCAATATAACGTTTCAAATTGATGTAATATTTAACATTACTCTATTTGGCCTTCTTTAATTATATTTTGAATAATATATAATTTTGAATAATATATAATTTATTATTCAAAAATATTTTGAATAACATTTTGAATAATACAGCGAATGCTCTTGAACAAGCCACTCGAACTAAAACATCGATGTGACTCACATGGGTCTCCACGCTCCCATGGCGCAGAGGTGGCCAGAGCGCTCGGGACCGTGGAAGGCGCTGCAAGCCGCGGGCGCGGCCCATCCTGAGGAGCAGAGAGCACAGCAGCAGGTGATCGAACGAGCGCCACTGTGCGTGGAGAGAGAGGCCCCCCCGATCCCCCTGCGCCGGACCTCAGAGCCCCATCAGAGCTCCAGACGCGGGCCACTCACCGTCTGAGCCTCCCACGCCGGCAGAGCCCCGCGGGCAAAGCCCCGCGGGCAAAGGAGACCACGGTGTCCTCATTCATTTCTCCGCTACTTACTGATTACTTCATTCATTCGCTAATTATCATTTTAAAACCCTCATATTTAAAAAACCCAACAAGGTCTTGATGTTTAAGCAGAACTAGAATCATTCTCAAAACAAAGCGCCTTGACCACTGATTCTTCTCAGTTTTACTCTATGTGCTGATCAAAATAACAACTCATATTTATGCTGTAGTTTTGACCAGGGAACAGCCGCCTTCTTTGACTCTCTTTCATACTTTTTGTCACTATAAGGAATATCCCTATGACTCGCACTATGTCATCCTTAGCCAAACCAGTAACTGTCGTGCACCATTTACTTCTAATGAAACTTCAAGGTTTTCACAGTACATCAACAGCATTTCTTGTATAATCACATATTTTCATAATTGGACAATACTTCACTACATTCATCTTTATTTATATATTCGTTCATAGATTCTTGCATTTACCCAATTATAATAATAGAATGGAAATGAAGGAACAGAGACCAAAAAGAAGGCCCTCAGATATTTCTGACTCACATCCACAGGCCCCCTGCCCACCGTGGAGAGGGACCAGGCTGCCTCTGTGTCGGACCTCAGAGTCCCAGACACGGAGCCGTCGCCCATGATGCAGACGCCACCAGGAGTCATCGGAGATCCTATCGTCCCTCGTTTTCTTCCTTTGTAATAGTCTGTTGATTAGATCATTAATTTACTAATAATAATATCTAAACATTATGATTCACCAAACCCAAGAAGAGTTATTACATCCCTAATCTATATATATATATTATTTTTACATGGGTGTATCTCTTTGATTGATTATCCTGCTTTTCATACATGGATTAGTCAATATAATGGTTCATATATCCCTTATTTATCACTAGGATACATTCCTTATCTAATTATATTTTATAATTTTTAATAAGGCAGTGAATTACCTTAAAAAAAAAAAACACTTACCCAAGAAAATAAAACTTCAACTATTACTCACATTAATCTCCATCCTCCCATTACTCAGAGGCAAGCAGAGCTCATGACTGGGGATGATACTGAATCAGCTCTGTGCGTCCGTCTGAGGAGCGCAGAGCAGAGCAGGTGACCAACACGGTGAAGGGCTCACCGACACCGCCCCTTGCTGACCACATTCCACAGGCTCGGGAGTGAGGCGCTTCTGCTCTCTCCATGTTGATGCCGTCAGCCTAACACGATGAAAAGCTCAGCCTTGAGACTGACCCAGAACAATACAATAGACCCATACTGGCCAATGTCAGTGATGATTTGTGCTACATTTATTTCTCTGTAAATGTGTCTTTTCGATTTTATTAATATCCTTGGCCTTAACCACATCCATTCATGGTTACGCACTGCCTCGCCCTCGTCTTTAAATTTTAAAATGTTTGTGTAATACTTCTGTCAATTCCAGTAATAATAATGTAACTGTCTATGAAATCAGTACAAAAGCATGAGTTTTGTCCCGATTTGTTCCAACACTGACATCTGTCTATAGAAACAATTTGTCTATAAAATCAATAGAATTTCTTGCTTATATTATAATTGGACAGTATGTCACTCCCTTCACATTGATTTCTTTGACTATTTGTCTATTGATTATTTTATTGCTCCAATTATAAAACAGAAATGCATGAACCTAAAACCAAAAAACAAGACCCTCATGTAAATCTTCCCTGACACCTGTCTACAGCATCACCATGTCTTGTTCTAGTTTAGTTTTTATTATTTTAATTAGACACCTGTGATCCCCATGTACTCAGAAGTAAAAAGCTGTGGTTGAATTATTTTAGTTTTTCCTAAGATAGTGTCACTTTCTACAAGCATAATGGACCAGATTCCATTTTTGTCAGACCCCAGAGCCTCGGACACATGCCCCTCATGTGTGACTCATACACTGTCAGTACTCATCACTGGCCTAATATTGTCTATTGTCCCTTTTCTTCTTGTCTCTACATTGCTTATTTACTAATTGCGACTTAAAATTTTAAAACTTGATGATTCACAAAGCCCCCAAGAAGACATTGATATCCCTGTTATGTAACTAAAATCATTCTCACATCAATATACCTCCTTCGTTAATATTCCCAAATTTCATTTGAGCATTAATTAATATACTAATTCATATTAATTCAATATTAGTCCAAGTTCTACCATTGGCCTTCTTTGATTCTCTCTGGCACTTTTTAGAAATAAGCTAAATACCCTGAAAAAAATTCACTGAAACCAAGAGAGGAACTGTGACTATTGCTCACACCGGTCTCTGTGTTGCTGACACAGAGATGGTGTCATGGAACTGCCACCATGGAGGGTTGCTTAATTAGCTCAAGGAGTCCATTCCGAGAAGCGCAAAGCACAGTTGGACGTGAGACAATGCTAAGAACTTGCACTCATTGGGCCTCCATTCCCACATTTCACTGACTGAGCTATTTAGGTATTTTAAATTCTTGTGTAGTTTTCTCTTAACCTTAAACTTGTGACTGACCCAAAACGATACATTTACTCTCAATTATTCTTCGATTAAATGTATCGGGATGCCATCGGTTAATAAGGTTCTATAGGTTTCAAGTGCATAATTCTATGATACATAACTGGTATATCGCACTGAGTGTCCAAGACCCAAAGTCAAATCGTCTTCCTTCCCCATATATTTGGCCCCTTTTCCCCTTTATTACCCACCCACCCTCCTTACCAACATACTGATGTCTGTGTCTAAGTTTTTGTTTTTCTTGTTTGTTCATTTGTTACTTTCAGTTTTATACTCCACATATGAGCGAAATCATGATCCTTGACTTTTTCTGACTGACTTCACTTAGCACGATATTGGCAAGGCAAGCCTACAGGATTCCTAGCCAAACAGGTAACACCATTGATTAGTGTACTTCTTAATAAACTCAGTGTTTTCATTTCTTTAATGCTATTTCCTTACCATGTATATTCAAGTTGTGCACAATGTTTTGCCCTTTTTTATGTATTATTCATATTTCTTTAATGGTTCTAAAAATCCATTTATAATACATGTAAATCTATGAAGCTAAAATAAAAACACAATCATTGTATATTCTTAACATTTGTCTATAGTATCAAATAGAACAGAGCGAATACATTAGGTATTGTGTCGCGCCTTAGAGTTGGAGACATATTATTCAAACTGTGCACTGCCGTCACTGGTCCGTCAGAAGTTTGCTTTTTCTTCATTCATTTCTATATTTGTATTGACAACCTCATCAATTCAGTGGTAACAATAAAATAAATATATAGTTCCCAAAAACTTAGGAACAAGACCCTTGAATATCCTCAGCTTCTTTCTGTGGAAACATTGCCAACAGAGGTTGTATGTCTTTCATTAATCAATCTCAATGTTACGTCAGTTAAGCAAGATAATGTTTTGCATTATATTTATTACTGGGCAATAGGTTACCTTTTGATAATATTTACTACTTTTAACAATACCATAAATATCCTTAAATAATGACGCAAACCAAAACAAGACCTTTGACTTTCACTCACTTTAGTCTCTTTCCTAGTGGGAAGGCAACATAGCAGTTTTGATCATGGAAGTGGACAAAATTAACTTGATTACCTGTTCTGAAAAGTATCAAGCAGAGAAGTTGATAAAAACATTGAGACTTTCTCTCCATTTATTCATAGTTCTTACCATTGATTTATATAATCATTTAGGCATTGTGCTATTACATTAAAAGTGAATATTATCATAAAGTACCTTAATAAAATAAACTTCAAACCTGCAACAGACTTAGGCAATAACTGACACTTATATTTCACTGTTTTAATCAACCTTAGACACACCCATAACACGCTTAGTCCATTTAGTATTCTTTCTTATGTATATTAATATTCTTTTACCTTGCTACGTAATTATCAAAGAACAATGCTTCACCCTCTTCATCTTTCTTCATTTATATATTTATTATTTACACTTTGTATGTAGTACCGAAATCATGAAACCACACCAGCTCAGCTGTATGCGCCTGACACCTCTCCGTGGGATCCCCCGCTTGCGGGGGATGAACTAGATGCCTTTTGTGTGGACCACTGAGTTCCAGGCACACACTATCCACTGTCCACCAGCCCATTACAGATCCATGACTGTCCCTCTGTCTTTTCATTCTCATAAACATTTGCTCATTAATTACTTAATAAGGAAGTAATCATTAAAATCATTTCCACACAGACTATGCTGATTTCAGCATTACATTTACAGATTAGTCAATAAAGTGCTTCCAATAAATTTGATATTTTACATTGGACTATTTCCACCTTCTTTCATCATATTTAATACTTTTCAAAAATACAGTGAATACCCTTAAACAAACCATTCAAACACTGACAATAACTCTGACTATGACTCACATGGTCTTCAGGCTCCTACAACGTAGACGGAAGCCGGAGGGCTTTGGGGCCATGGGAAAATGTTACATTCAGCTTGAGAGCGTCCATTCCAAGGAGTAGAGGGCAGAGCAGATGATGAAAACAGACTTCCTTCCATTGATCATTATTTTACATCTTTCACAGAGGCATTCAGGCATTTGTTATTAAAGTCTGTTTACCTCATTGTCTTGTGTAAGAACAAATGACCTTGAACTTCCCACTGACCCAGAACATAAACAGGGTCTATAATGTGCCCTGGCTATCCGTCCTTCGCCAAAGGGTCACGTGCCACTCACTTCCCTTTGGACTTCACGTTTTCAAATTATGCTAATAGAATTTACTGCTGCCCTGCATGTGTTTTAAACCAGACAAGGCAACTCCACCTCAGCTTTCGTTTTATAGATTTCTTCATTGATAAACCATTGATCCAATGAAACTAAAGGATGAAAACGCACACGGAAGGCCTGTTTTTGCCCTGAAGCCCAGACGCGCACCGTTCACCCTCCGCGCCTCGTGCACTGGCCGCGGTCATCACCGGTCCAGGGTCCCACTGTCTTCGTTCATTTCTGCTTTGCTCCTTAGTTACCTCAATAATTCACCAATTAAAATTTTAAGCCTCTGTGACTCCCCAAAGCTCAACAAGACCTTAATATCTCTGCTAAGTATTAAGAAATATTCCTACATCCATATCTCCATCATTATCCTCGGTTTTCTGCTGTATTTCAATCCACACAACGCTTCTTTTACTAATCCCGTAATTGTTACTAGGATACAGTTTCCCTTCTTCGATTACGTTTCACACTTTTTGTTCATACAGTGAACACCCTGAGACAGAACACCAGAACCAAGGCAAGACCTTCCATTATTACTCACATGGGTCAACCCCAAAGCCCTTGATCAAGGGAGAGCCTTAAATTAGGTCCAGTGCATCTGTCCTGAGGAGCATAAAGCCAATGACAAAGAATAGTCGAGCCACTCTCTCCATGGACCCTTGCTCTTCACACTTCCTTCAGTCAGCCAAGGGGGAGTCAGTAGTTGGGCACATTTTATTCCCTTAAGGAAAAGAGCCACAGTGGTCTTGCAAATGGACCCGGAATCTGAACACTGCCTGCGACTTACACGGTCGGTCGTCCTTACACAGGTCACAGTGATGTACCATTTATTTCTAACTGAGCTTCAGGGTATTTCCTGCATAATCACGTATTTTTATAATTGCATAATGCGTCATTGCTTTCATCTTGATTTATTTACAGATTTATAGATGCTCACATTTATCCAATTATAATAATAGGATGAAAAGGCAATGAAGACTAGGACCGAAAACAAGGCCCTCGTACATTACTGACATCTGCCTACAGGGCTCCTGTACACAATGCGGATGAACCACATTCTTTCTGGGCCGGACCTCAGAGTGGGACACGCAGTCATTGTCTATGTCTCATGCGCCGCCAGTAGTCACCATGGATCCAATATTGTCTCTTTTCCTTCGGTCACGTCTATGGGGTTATTGATTAAATCATTAATTTACAAATAATGATCTCTAACATTGATAACGAAAAACCATAGAAGAGCCTTTATATCCCTATTCTGCACACAGGTTATTCTCACATCAATGTACTGCTTCCTTTAATTATCCTCAGTTTTCCATTGGATTAATCAATACAATGTTTTATATATCCCATACTTATCGCCGAGAGGCAGTTGCCATCTTTAATTATAGTTCAGACATTCTAATAATACAGTGAATTATCTTTTTAAAAACCATGGAAACAAGAAAAGAATTTTTACTCTTACTTACATTAACCTCTGTCTTCTTGCACAGAGGCAGCCATATAGTTCTGGACCATAGAGGAGGCTGCAATCACCCAAATGTGGCCAATCTGAGAAGCACAGGACAAAACAGATAATGAAAAAGGTTTAGACATTATGCCATTGGTCACTGCATTCCACCTTTCAATTAGTCATTTATGTGATCAGTGTATGAGGACCACGTGTATTTTAGTTTCTCATCAGTGAACGAGCAAAGATGATCTAACCGCTGACAGCCATGAACGTTGGCTATTACTTGTCAATGTCTCTATCAACCTGGGTCAACGAACAATGACCTTGTACTACGTGATTCCTTTTCAATGTCAGTGTTTTACATATACACTGATACTGTTCCTTGCCTGGCCACCTATTTTTATAATTGGACACTATTTCACCACATTTATCTTTATTTCATGTTTGTTTATAGATTCATTCATTGATCCAATTATAAAAATAGACTAGATTTCTTTTATATTGGACCTCAGAGTTCCAGACACGTAGTCATAGTATATGACTCATACGCCACCCTTAGTCATCATTGATCCAATATTCTCTCTTTTGCTTCAACCCTTTCTACACTGTTTATTGGCTGATTGGTCAGTTTACTAATGTAATTTTAAATGCTATTGTTCACAACACCCAAGAAGTTATGATATCCCTAATCTGTCTATAGATTCATTTTCATATCAACACATCTCTTTATTACCTCAACTTTCATGTATGTAATGCTATCATGTCTCATTAATTCAATAGATGTAACTGGGCTATAGTTCACAAATCTTGACTCCATATGGCACTTCTTAAAATATAACTATCCTTAAGAAATATTGTTGAAACCAAGACAAGAATTTCAAGTCTTACTCACAGGGGTCTCTAGGCCGCCGACACCAGGGCGCCTTCAGAGGGCGCGCCACCGAGCGAAGGCTCCCTCAGCCAGAGCGGCCCCTTCCGAGGAGCTCGGAGCACAGCAGGTGATAAAAAACTGCAGACCATCCACACCGATCCCTGCTTTTCACGTTTCGCTGACTCGTTCAGGTGTTTACGAATCGTTCATGATGTGAATGCATTTTTCTCTCAGCACAACGACGTCCATGTTGAGCATGACCCTGGAAAAATGAGCAACTCCTGCTGATCTTTGTCTACATGAGCCACAGGAAACACCCTTGTTCCACTGATTTCTTCATGGGCGTCAGCATTTTCAATTTTATTACTATTTCTTTTACTATTCTATTAGTAAAATAGAATTTACTAATTCTATTACTATTACTATTGCCTCACCCTGTGTGTTCGTGGATAAACAGTACTCTACCCTTTTTTCTTTACTGATTATTTATTGAGATTTATCTGTCTTTACTATTCCACTACTGAACCATATAACAAATCTAAATCCATAAACTCAAAATAAGGACATAATCCTTGTATCTTTCTAACCTCTGTCCGCAGGATCAAATGCAACAGAAGGAATTGACTATCGAGATGGACCTCAAAGACCCAGACACATAGTACTCGTCGTCTCTGACCTACCCGCCGCCAGCTGTCGTCACCAGCCCATTAAAGGTCCAATTTTTCTTCATTTGTTTCTGTAGTTGTTACCGACAATATCATTAATTCATTAAAATAATAAAATATATGATTCCAAAACACTAATCAATAAGACGTTTGAATGTCCCTAACTTCTGCTGTAGAATTTTCGCCAACCTGAGCCAGATGTCTTTCATTCGTCAATCTCAATGCCACATATTAAGTCAATCAACATAAGGTTTTTATATCATATTTTTCAGTGGGCTATAATGAACTATTTTATTATTTGCTACTTTTGAATGATACCCTGAATGCGCTAAAACAAGTGACCCAAATCACACCAACACTGTGACTATGACTCACCTCGGTTTCCTTCCTAAAAGAAAGAGACTGTGATGATCAGTCTTGGCCGCAACAGAAGACGCCACCAGCCAAGCGTCTGCCCTGCAGAGCTCCAAACGGGGAAGGAGTCAGACAGGCTGAGATTCTCTCCCCGCTGATCCGTATATATATTCCACCATCACTTACATAGTCATTTAGGGATTTATTCCCTAATGAAAATATTGACTTATTTTTATCTTAAAACTACACTTCAGCCTTGCATCTGAATCAGGCAAACACTGACTACCACATTCCGTTGTCTGTATCAGCCTTCGTCAAAGATGCAATACACTTGGCTCTCTTAGGTCCACCCTAAAGGACATAAATATACGTTTACCTCATTACATATTTACCAAAGAAAAATACATCAACCTCTTCATCTTTATTCATGTATACACTAGTTTATTTACCCTACCACTAATGCTTTTATAAATTAATTATTAAAATTCATGAACACAAAGACTAAGAACAAAATCCTTTTCATTTCCTAACATCTGTATGGAGGCTCCCTATACGTGCAGAAGTGGGCAAGATGACTGTCGAGCCAAACCTCAGGGTTCCAGAGACACAGTAATCGTCGGATGTGACTCACCTGCCAACGGTCGTCACTGTCAGTCCGTTCACTCGCGAGTTATAATTTTAAAACTATATGAGTCACAAAAAGCCAAGAAGGCACTAATATCTTTAATATGTACATAGAATCATTCCCAAATCAATCTATCATTAATTATCTTGCTTTTCATAAGTGATTCAATCAATGTAATTCTTTCCATTAAACCGCATTTGTTGCTAGGACACAGTTCAACTTCTTTGATTATATTTCATACTTTTTATTAAAACAGTGATTATCCATAGACAGAACACCAGAACAAGACAAGAGATTGATTATTTCTCACGCCGGTCTCCCTGTCCCCGGAACCGAAGTGGATCCCTAGCGCGCTCAGTCAGGGACGGCTCCTTAAAGCAGGTGGGGGTTTTCCATTCTGAGGAGCATAAAGCAGAGAAGATAAAAGGAGCTGAGATATTCTCTCCATTGATCTTCACTTTTTATCTCTCATTTATGCAGTCACTGAGCTACCATGAAATATTTTTTTCCCTTATGAAAATGAGCAATGTTGGTCTTGTAAGCCAGCCCAGAACCTGAGCGTTGTCCGTGTCTTACGTCAGCCTCACAGAGGCCTCCGCCATGTGCCCCTGACTTCCAGTCCAATTCCAGGGCTTTCAGAACATAGTATTGCTATTTCTTTCATAATCACAGATTTTTAGACGTGCGCAATGCTATGCTCCTTTATACATTCATTCATTCTTGCATTTATCCAATTACAGTAACAGGATGGGCGATCCTCACACGTTCCTGAGGCGTCCACAGGATCCCTTCACCCCGTGGAGAGGGACCAGGTTGCCTTTGAGTCGGATCTCAGAGTTCCAGACACGCAGCCATCGCACATGACGCAGACGCTACCAATGTCTGATCCAGTATCACTTTCTTCATTTATCTCTAATGGTTTATTCACTAATTCATTAATTCACAAATAATTTCAAGTGCTACCATTGACCCTCCTCTGTACAGAGGTTATGCTCACATCAATGTCACTCTTTCATTAATTTTCCTCAGGTTTCCACACCTGGATCAGTCACTATAATGGTTCATATATCCCATATTTATCACCAAGATACATTGCAGCCTTTAATTATATTTTGTACTTTGTAATAATTCAGGGAACTACTTTAAAAAACACTTAAACCAAGAAAATAACTTCACTGTACCTCACATTAATCTCTGTCCTCGTATCGTACACGGAGAGGCAGCCACGGAGCTTCTCCCTGCCTGAGGGGGATGTGCCAACGCAGCCGTCCTGAGGGGGATAGAACAACATAAGTGATAAAAAGATTGAGATTATGTTCGTAAGTCCTTGGATTCCAACTTTCATTCAGCCAATCATTATCAAGTAGTGAACTGAAATAATTTATATTTTATTTTCTCTAAGTAAATGGACAATATCGACCTAGTCATCAAAGAGAGAACATAAACATTCATTATTACTTATCAGTAACTGTATCACCGTTCGTCAAAGAGTGACACCCTTGTGTTTTAAATACGCGTTAGTCCTGCTCCTTGCCTAACCACATATTTTTATAATTGGACAATATTTCACCCCTTTCATCTTTATTTATATATTTATTGATGTGATTGATCCTGTCATAAAAATAAAAAGGAAATGCAAGAACACAAAGAAGAAAAACAAGCTCGTGGTATGTTCCTGACCTCCGGTCTATTAGAACCACCTCAAACAGGACAGTAGACCACACTGCCTTTCTGTTGGACCTCAGAGCTGGACACGTAGTCATTGCGTACGTCTCAGACGCCACCAGTAGTCCTCGTTGATCCAATATTGCCCCTATTTTTTTCATTCATTTCTACAGTATTTATTGACTAACTCACTAACAATCCTAAAACCCTGTTACTCACAAAAACCACAGGAGGAGCCATGACACCCCTGCTCCGTAAGTAGGGTCATTCTCACATCAGTGTCTCTTTTTTTAATTATGCTGCTAATCACTTATACATGACTCTATATAATGTTATCATAAAATTCAGTATTTGTCAGTCAGCTGCAGTTGGCCTTCTGCGATTCTATATGAAACTTTTGAGTAACGGACTGAATACTCTCAAAGAAAAGTCACTGAAATCAAGCCAACAACTTTGACGACTACTCGCATCGGTCTGCGTGCTCCTCATAGACACGCCGTCAGAGCCCACCGTTGGGGAACGTGCCTACTGCGTCTGTTCGGAAAGTGCAAAGTGCAGTCGGTCATACAAAATTAATAAATAAAATTTTTATTCCCATGCCATAAAACTTTCATGTTTTATTTCCGCAATGCATTTCCACAATTTGTTAGGTCATTCACTTAGGATATTTATAAGTTTTTCATAGTGTCGGTTTTTTTCTCTTAACAAAAGAACAACTTCCAACTTGGAACTGACCCAGAAAAACAAAGTTAACTCTTAATTATTCATGTCCAAAGAAACGACATCCTTGATCCATTTATTTCTTAACAGGCAGCCACGTTCACAATTTTTAGTATTTCTTGTCTCATCACATGTGTTTATAGTTAGATAATTTACCTTTTCTTCTGCAACTATTATTTATATTTCATTCATAATTTTATCACGGGCCCATTAATGAAAACAAATATAAATCTATTCACCCGAAATGAGAATATGATTTTTACGCATTCTTAACATCTGTAATTTGGAAGAAACAGAAAAAATAGAGTCCGGTTTGCGCTGACCCTCAGCATCCCAGACACACATTATTATTCATCGCCCATGACTCAGCGGCCACCCGGCATCACCGCTGGGTCATTAAAGACCCATTTTCGGTTCATTCATTTACATATTTGTATCAACTAAATCATTAGTTCAGGATAATTGTATAATGATACATGATTAACAAAAAAAACCCCTAAAGAACAAGGCATTTAAATAGCTTTACCTTCTACAGACTCATTGCCAAAATAAATTATACCTCTTAAATTCATATCGATGTTACTTATTTGTGTGTGTTTGTTTGTATATCGTGCAGTCTCTGCCTTAAATAGTTTTACCCTCTGTGAGTACATTCCTAAACAGTATGATTGTTGCATTTTGCCACCTTTAAGATTTTACACAAACAGAACAACAGTGTGGGTGGGCCTCCTGTTACTTTCCTGGTTCATTCAACCTGGTGTTTTAGAGGCACGTTTGTGTGGGTGTGTAGACATGTAGTTTACTTCCTGGTTTTTTACTCTCCATTTTATTTTGTATTGGTTTCAGGCATACAGCTCCATGGTTAGATGATCATATACTTCACATAGCGTTCCTCTTAATATTTCTATCACCTCAAGTGCGCCATCCACAGTTAGCACAACGCTGTTGACTATAGTCCCTATGCCGTATGTTACATCCTGTGACTGTTTTGTAATGACCGATTTGTACTTCTTAATCACCTCACTTCTTTCACTCAGTCCCCCAACCGCTCTCCTGGCTGGGTGTTACGTCTTGAGGTCTAGTGGCGATTCTTCCTGCGGCTGCGCGAGGTGGCAAAGTGCATTTACCTACGCCTCCATCTTGGCCAGAAGTCCGCCTATTTTATTTTCTGTTCAGTAAGCAATATTGATCTTGCCCCTGACACAGAATATAAACACTGTGTCTTACTTAACACTGTCTAACATCCTTAGCCAAAAGGTTACACCCTTATACCATTTCTTTCCTAATAGATATTGGTCCTTTCAATATACATTAATATTTACCTTATCATACTAATCTTTCCTAATCACATATTTTGATAATTGGACAAGACTTCATAGTCTTCACTTTTATTTACTGACATACATTTTTCTACTGATTATTCCATTGATCCCATTATAAAAATAGAAAGGAAATGTATGTGCATAATGACCAACACCCACACCTTTTCATACTGCTGACCTTTGCCTATAGGATCCCCCGACACTGACAGGGACTACGGACTAGTTTCCCCGAGCACCGGCCTCCTGAGTTCCGGACACGTAGTCATCACGCATGCCACCAGGAGTCATCATTGATCCACACTGCACTTCTTTTCTTTATTCAATAGAATTATTATTTATTTATCGATCAGTTACTTCAGTAATTATAATTATTTATTGATGAGTTAATGCAGTAATTATAATTGGAAAAAACAATTAGTCACAGAAATCCCTCAGGAATCTAGATATCCCTAATATAGATTTAGAATCATTTTCATAACAATCGCTCTTATTCAATTTTTACTATGTACATTCATTAGCATAATGCTTCACATTAATCCCACATTTCTCAGTGGGCAGTTTGGATTTCATTGATTATATTTCACAGTTTTCAATAATACAGTGAGATCCTTAAAGTAGCGAAACTAAGACAAGAACATTAACTCTCACTCACGCGGCCTCCACGCTCCTAACCCACGAATGCAGCCAGGGAGCTCATGACGACGGAAGACGCTGACACCAGCTCGAGAGCATCCAGTCTATGGGGTCCAGAGCAGGGCAGATGATAAAGAAACAAGAACGTGAATAGAGGACTCATGGGCACGGACAATGTGGTGGGCGCTGACTGTGGGCGTGGGGGGCGGGGCAGGAGAGAGGGACACAGCAATGGGAGGAAAGGTGAGACAACCGTAACTGAACAAAAATCATTGAAAAAATTGCATTTATCCTTTACCAAAAATTTGGAACTTAATCACCACAACAATCCTTGTTTCCTGCATTTTATTTCTTTCTTTAGACATTCATTAATTTTTCATAATGTAGCGAATTTTCTGATAACAAAAGAAAATCCTAAACTTGAGGCTGACCCAGAGCATTAATCCTGAGTCTTATTCATCAGTATCTATATGGCTCTTAAGCACAAGGGCAAATGCTTCCTCCATTTGTTGCTTAATAAGTGTGTCTTTAATTTTACTAAAATATTCTTGCCTCACTACATAGATTCCTAGCTGGACAATGTTTCACTCTCTTCTCATTGGCAGTTTATTACATTCTTAATAGTTTGATGACTGATTCACTAATAGCAATAAATCTATATCTATAAACTCAAAATAAGAATATGATCTTTGTATACTTGTAATTTTGACCCATGGGGTCATTTGCAACAGAAAGTAAATTAGATTCTGTGTTCTGTGGACTCAGGAGTGACAGACATCTAGTGTGCGCCGAATATGATACCTAACCGCCAGTCACCGCCACTGGCGCCTTTATGGGTCTCTTCCTCTTCCCTTGTTTCTACATTTGTAATTATTACATCATTAATTCATTAATAATAAAAACAAATATGTGATCCATGAAATCACAAGGAAAAGACCTTTGAATAAGCTTCACTTCTGTACCACATAAACTGTATCTTTTTCATTAATTGACCTCAATGTTACACATGATCAACTAATCAACGTAAAACTTCACATCATATTTGTCACTGATCCATAGTTAACTTTACTATATTTACTACTTTATTTTTTTTATTGAAGTTCACGTGCAGTTGTCTCCATTTTCCCCCTACGACTCCCCTGCCCCCATCTATCCCTGCCTCCCACCCTCGATCCTGTATTTACTACTTTATGACAATACCATGACTTCTCTTTTAAGCACATTACCCAAATCAAGGTAAGCTCTTTGAAGAGTATTCACGATGGCCTCCTTTCTTACATGAAGCTGACATAATGTCAATCTGAACAGGCGGAAATCAGCTCAGTGCATTCATTCTAGAAAGTGGGACAGATGATGCAAAAAAAACATTAATTTTATAATTTAATGTGAATATACTTGAATGAATAGGTATCAAATTGGTGGAGAAAAGAGTTAAATTAGTAAACAGACAAACATAACTAATCAAAAGTAAACCAGGAAGGGAAGGAAACAGAAGAAAATTAAAGCAGCAATGAAATCAAAAAGCTAAATTAGAATCCATAAATGCATTCTAATATACTGGCCATCATAAAAATGTGAAACAACAGATTATCCCGGTGTCATAAGTAATCAGACCATATTTTTAAAATGCAACTACAGAGACATTTTCTCCACTGGACCACATTTTCCACTCTTCATTTACTGAGTCATCTGGGCACTTACTAACTTGTGGTGATATTTATTTATTTTTCTCTTTATAAATAAACGTAAAACTAATTCCCGGTCTCGGACAAGCATTATTACTTGTCCAAGTGCGCACCAGCCTTCGTCAAACTCTTAATCCACTTGGCCCTTTGTTCACATTTTCCACTTTATATTGATATTCCTTTTCATTATTACATCTTTTATTAATGAACAATGCGTCACTCTCTTCATCTTTATTCATTCATACATTTGTCTATTTATTCCGCCATGAAATCTTTAATAATAACATTTTAAAAATTCATGAATTTGAAGACACGAGCAACAGCCTTCTGTGTCCTTGACATCCGGCCGCAGACCCCTGTCCTCCAGGTGCAGGCCCTGGACTCCACCTGTGCTGGGCCTCAGAGCTCCCGACACCTGCTCAGCCTGTGCGACCCCCGCCAGCCCAGGGACCGCTGTTGGTCCAAGACTGGCCTTCATTCTCCTTTATCATCTCCATCTATCTGTTTATTGTCTACTTCATTAATAAAGAGATACATGTAAATCACAAAAAACCGAGACTAAGATTCTTGACTATCTTGAGCACCCATCCCTATGAGCGCTTCCAGCAAGACGAGACTCCTGTCATGAACACGGCTCAGCGTTTCCCATGTGGGTCAGTCAACATGATGTTTCATGTTACTGATATTTAATATGGACATATGTCCCCTTCTTTGATTTAATTAACACTTTTTAATAGGACAGTGAAAACTTTTTAAAAAACAACAGTTAAACTGAGAAG